AAAAAGAAATCGTACGCAAGGGATTTACCTATAAAGAACTTGTTAATTCTAGCGTTTTCGTTTTGTACTTTGTTTTTTAAGAATTCCGTAATTTCTTGGATTTCTTAACCGGAATTTACACATTCTAGACTATGTTGCCTAGTCCCTTAAGTATGAGACTTATACAAAAGAAATCATTATACGCCAAACATCCGAATCCATATGCCTCCCTGTATCGTTGTCTTCCATAGGAACGATGAAGGATTTTCACGAGGAAACGACAAAGAAAAAGGGTGGTGCAATTAAATAACACATTTTGTTATCAATTCTTAAAATCATAGGTGTTGTATTTTGGCTGTCCTTTGCCGGATGGGGTCGGCTACTGTTTGAGTATTTGGATGATAGAGTGTAGCACTCGGCCTTGCACTTGAAGAACCGTTTTGATTTTCTTCGGTTGCTATATTATGAACACGCCAAATTTCGTCTTAAGAACTGTATGGTATGCTAGAATCAAGAAAACGACTTAAGGAAAACAAAGAAAGAATAAAACAAAAATAAAAGCCGAGACACACAGTACTTATGTTTTCTTTAAGACGAAATTGTTCTGAAAAATATCACGGTTAGCAGCCGATACTTTCAATATGCAACTATTTTTAACTTCTATATTACATACTTGAAATATCCAAACTTTCGACAAACAATACTAGAACTCTCTATACTAAATGAAGAATAAATAATACCATATCCTATATGAACTTTTGAAAGTGTAATTTGGCTTTTGAAGCTTTTGTTTGTTTACTTATCTTCGACTATATCAATTGCTGTCCATTTACCTTATGTACCTTTCGTTATTCTTGAAAAGTCATTGTACTATAAAGCATCCTAGGTGGCCGTTTAGGCGCTTTCGATTTGTATGAATCGGCTGAAAAAATCGTTCAGGCGACTAGGCGGTGCTTAAGTGGGCTCCATGGCAAATTGTCAGCTTTTTTTGTTAAAAAAGAATATTAATTACATTATTTAGTTATCATGGTTTCTTTATTGTAAATCAATATTATTATTTGGATTTAGTGTGTGGATGTATTATAAGTTGATATAATTTTATTTTACAGGTAGTAAAAATAAATAAAAAATATGGTATGCAACCTTAATTTCTAGGCCCCACCTAAATGCTAATCATGTGTCTGGCGACTTCTAGAACATTGCTCATGCTTGATAGGTTTTGTTCTTGTTCAGCTACTTTGGTATCGTGTTGCCTCAACAATGCGGATAATCTCAGAGCTAGATTCCGCTTCGTCGAAGGTTACACGCATGCTCGTGATCGTGAATCGAATCATCTTTCTAGAAACTTATCTGCAGTCAATAGAATAATGGTGAACAAAAGGGGAAAAAAATCCAATCTTGATCCTAATATGTGACCAATCAATGTGTTTTTAACTTTAACTAGTGTTGATACCCGTGCGATGCACGGAGTATAATCCAAAAAATATTTTATTATTTAAATATTATAAATCATTTAAGACAATATAATATTATATTCTCCACAATATTATATTAAGTAATAATATGACATTTATTTATGAACTATTATTGTTAATTTCCATTTTTATATTTATTTTGTAGTTTTCACTATTTAATTTATAAATTTTATTATTTATAAGTTCTTAAAATATTATAAATGTATAAGATCATATGATATTTGCATACAAATTACTTATATGTACTAAAAAATTGTCGCTTATCATAGTCTTAAATTTTTTTCAACAATTTATAATTTGCACATTGCTTGATAATTGACCAACGTTTAACCCATAATATTTATCTTGCGCTATATTTATTAAATGCATCAAATGTTAAAAATTTTGATAAATAAATTTTAATTTTAATAACTTTAATCCTTATGCAACACATAAATTTTTTATGATTAAATATTTTATTTCCATGTTTTTATTTTTTTATTTATATATATTTATTTAATTTATTTTTTCAACCTATATAATGAGTTCATTGTTTCTATTCGAATGTCTAGTTATATTATATATTTTCATAATTATCAAGTGCTATAATTTAAATTATTATATATTGCTATTATATTAACTTATTTTCATTTAGAAAATAGTATATAAGAAAAAATATATATTATTGAAAATTGAATAGTTTTTTAATACATAGATATTTTGAAGGTGAAATTTACAATTTTGAATTGCACCCGACCATCAAATTTTATTTTTGTTAGTATATTATTTAGAATTTTAATAGTATTATCATTGCATATGATAAATTCATTGGGGATGTACCTTTTTATAGTTAAATTGACTCCATTGCATAAACTTTAATTAATATTTTAAATTATTTATTAAGTTAGTATGATTTAAACAGTTATTTTTATTATTTTATTAAATATTTTAAGTACTTCATAATAGTAAATATAATTAATTAAATTTATACCTACAACCATACATCATAATGTATTTACCAAATCAATTTCCATAATACTTTTTCGAATTGTGTGAATAAATTACTATTAAATAAATATTAGAACTTATTAAAATATATCTAATAAATCTACAGTCAAAATTTAAATTTAAGCCAATTTGTAGTTAATGAACAATAGTCGTTGAGTGTATAAAAATTAATTATATTTTTCATGCATAAGATTTGCTAATAAATAAATATTAATTAAATATCAAATGTAGACGAAAAAAATGGGGATGTACCTTTTTATTAGTTAAATTGAATGTATAAAAATTAATTATATTTTTCATGCATAAGATTTGCTAATAAATAAAAATTAATTACATGCCAAATATAGACGAAAAAAATTTTCGCCCAAAATCATGCCAATTATGGCATAAAGGATTTGTACATTATATAGATATAGATAATATTTGCAAAAAAGTCCACGAACACACATGAACTTAACGAGTTTTACCCCATGGGGTAACCCATAGGGTTTTTTGCCACATGTTCCACAATGTGTGTATATGTGAATGTGTCCAAACCCAATATAATTGTTGGCAAATGCATTAAGTAAAACCTATTTAATAAAACCTTCATAATTTTACTGCTGATTTTTTCAATTAATGTAGAACGTTACATTTTACATTAATAAAGTGTAATAGCAATTTTAAGCTAATTTATTATATAATATTACTATTAACACTAACTGATTATAATTTTACATTAAATTGTACGTGGAAGTTACATAGTTATAAATAATTGTATTGCAATTTTTTTCTTTAAAATACTTTTTCTAAAATAAGATATTTTTTTTGTCTTTCTAAGCTATTTTTGTCTAATATTATTTAATTGACATGAGTGTCATAATTAAACACATTAAATTCATTTAGATAATTGTTATAACAATGATAAAAATAATTGTAATAATTTTTTAACTAATTAAATGTATGGTCCATCTAGATGACTAAACTATATTGTCCATTAAAATTTATGGCATCAATATATATATATATATATATATATATATTCATACATAAGTTCAATAATATATATTTACATTACACATTTGTATATAGTCAAAATTTAAAATGTAATACATCAATTATCTAATATAAAATTTTATAATATATTGTATGCATACATGCCATATATATATATATATATATATATATATATATATATATATTTGTGCATGTGCACAAGATGAATACTAGTAATACCTAATGGGCAGCATCGAACAAGCTAATCTCTCTTTGAATTAGGTCTGCATGAATTATTCCAAACTACCACGAATTCACCCATATGATTACTATGTCCGGTAAAACCAAATGATAAGTTAGCTGATAGTTAATAAGCTAGCTTATAGCTTATTAATGAGCAAAAATAGAGTTCGGTCAGGCAAAACAAGGCAACAATTTTACTTGTTACTCCATAATTAGTATCAATTTATTAATTTCTAATAGTTTTTATCAATTATGTGATGATAAAATAATTAGATTTATCAGAAAAAACTTCAACATATTGCATTACATTCATCGAGTTTTTTTTATTACGCATCAATACAAATATGTGGGGATATACGTAGCTAAATCAATCAATATGAATAACTGCAGTGTAACTTTGTCAGTGACGGACCTACATGAGGTCCAGGGGCCCACTCAATTTTTTTAAAAATCATTATATATATATATACAAATAAAAAAATACTATAAAAATGAATAAAAATGTAAAAAAAATTTGTAGAATATATAAATAATTTAAACTTATTCTAAATGTTATTTCAGTTTAAAGTAAGAATATTATTTATTTATTGAAAAGTATATTAACAATTATTATATTTTACATTTCTGGATAAATTTTTGAAAACATTTATAATAATTTACACTTTCGGCTTTTTAATTGTAAATCAATTTAATTATTTATAAAATTCAGAATTTAGTTGGATTGTTAGATTTTTGAATGTTAATCGATTGTATATTTGAATGTTGATTTTTTACTTTATTTTTTTATGTAATCACATATTTTCAACTTTATTTACGTTTCATTAAAAAAATAGTCATTTGAGAAGCACTAATCAACAAAAATGATATGCAAAGTGTTCAATTTAAATCAAATTTCGAACAAAAAAACTTATTTTCATAAATTATAGATCTTAAACTTAAATTATAAATACACGAAATCTCTTTTTTTTTAAAAAAAAAAGTTTGAGGGTGATACGAATTCTAAGTTCTTAAAAACTTGAAGGTACACATATTAATATCTATATTTATAAGTAAACACAACTTTATATGAAATGAACGTTTCTACGTAAATTACAAACTTGTTATTCAACATTAAAATAGGCCCTTCTGAGTAAAAATCCTAGTTCCGTCACTGAACTCAATCCAACCCTCCAATTTTATCTTGATTGCCCTTATTTTCTTTGTTATTCGTGATTAGATTAGCCTACATCAAAGACCATTGACTCTCAAATGGGCTCTTAAATGACTAAAAAGGAGGCTAGAGGGGCTAATTGGCAAACTGAGATGAAGAAAGCGGCGCTTGCGGCAACCGTGTACTTCATTTGGAATGCGAGGAATAGGTTGGTCTTCGAGAATGAATTTCAACCTCCGAACCTCGTGGTACATAAGATCAAAACTCATATTTATCGTACTATATTTGCGATGTATCTGAATGTACTTGTCGAGTTTGAGAGAAAAAGTTTTGGGCTTGGAGGAACCGAGCTTGTGGTTGCCCGTTGCGATCTTGTATGCCGATTATCAGTTGTCTGAACCACAATTTTGATCTATAAATTTATTTTTAACGATAAAAAAAACCAAAAAAAAAAGGTAAATCAAGTTGTCAAAAAAACTCTTGTTAAAGGCAATATATATTAATTTCCCTCATAAAATTCAAAAAACGCAGTACCCCACTACCCCTGATCATTAAGAACTTTTCCCTCTAAAAATCCCGAAAAAGAAAAACCCTCGTCTGCTAGTCGGCTCACCAGGCCCGTCGAATTCAAAATCAAATTTCGAATCGATGTTCGCGATTCTCCGAGGCAGACGACTCAAATCTCCCACCGGAGTTGTCTATTTTGGTCGGCCGTCAATTTAGGGCTTCTGAAAATGCGGTCTTTTCCAAGCCGTTCACCACCGGTAAATTACCGCCAGGTGTTCGCGAAAATGACCCTGAGAAATCCTTCACTTTCTCCTACCTCGTCAGCTCATGCGGGTTGGCTCCAGACGTCGCCGTCCGCGCCTCCAGTAAAATCCAGCTGAAATCGCCGGAAAAACCAGACGCGGTCTTGAATCTCCCCAGAGAGTACGGATTCACGGCCACAGACATCTCTGTAATGGTCACCCGGTGGCCGAACGTTCTCTGTGCCTGCCCAGACAAAATCCTTTTGCCCAAGCTCGAATTTTTCGCCTCTATTGGTGTCCCCCTCCCCCTCCTGGCCAGCAGTCTGTCCCGAATTCCTTATGTCTTATGGCACAACCTGAAGAATTCAATCATCCCCTCTTACGATTTCCTGAAAAACGGACTCCACTCCAATGATCTTCGGCTGGTACCTGGTCGACCATTTCAAATCCAACCTCTCGTTTCTAGCATCCTGCGGGGTCCCATGGCCCTCTCTTGTATCACTGGTCACATAAGAACCAAGAATGCTCTTGGCTCCTCAGAAGAAGTTATCCTCGTGCATGGATCGTGCAATAGAAATGGGGTTTGACGTGTCCAATAATGCGTTTTCGAAGGCCATTCGGGTTTTGGTGGGTTTTGATGAGTGGACCCTTAAGCGCAAGATGGAGGTTTATAGAAAGTGCGGCTGGTCGGAATATGACATCAGGACGGCCTTTCTGAGTCAGCCGCTCTGCATGGCCTTGTCCGAGAAGAAGATTTTGGTGAGTATGGGTTTTTTGGTTGATAAATTAGGGTGGGCACCAGGTGATGTGGCCCGGTGCTCATGGATTATTGGGTACAGCCTCGAAAGGAGAATGAAGCCGTGGTGAGCAGTTGCTGAGGTTTTGAACGAAAAGGGGCTGAAGAATGTGGCTATCACGTCCCTGCTGACAATGTCCGACACTACAACAAAAACTGTATTTAGGGACGCTTATTTTTTTTATTTAGTGACATTTATTAGTGTCACAAATAAATTTACCTACACTAGCAAAAGTGTCACCAGTTGCGTTGCTAAATTTGATGTCACGAATTTATTTGTGACGCAACCTAAATGCGTAGGTAATCTTTAATAGGCGACACTTTTTCAAAAGTGCGTCGTTAGTACATAATTTATGACACAATATGTTAATATAAGTAATTTTCAATTAGTGACTCTTTTTTCAGAGCGTCATTATTATTGCGAGTTGTGACATAAAATTTGGCGTCGGTAAATCCCAATGCATGACGTTTTTTTATAGCGTCATTATTATAGATAATTGTGACACGAAATTGTATTGTTTGAAATTTTCCATACATTACCCTTTTAAGTGTGTCACTATAATTTTTGGTGACATAGTACAAAGAGATTGAAAGATATTTCGTGAAAATCCATATTCAAATACAAACTTCGATCCACAATCGTAATCGAATGGTTCACTGAACAAATAATAATTGAAAGACTAGAACCATAATTCTCATTACATTGAATTCTAAAAAAAACTAAGATGCTACATAGTTGGAACCAAAACAGCCATCTTCAAGGTCGGGAACCCACAACTAAAGTTACTGCACAAGCACAAAGAAAGCAAACCAAAAACCAATGAATCAGATGAAAATGATACTATAGTGTCAGAAACATAAGAGTTATCAACGTAACCGAACAAATACCTTGATGAAGCCGATATCCTTGGTGTTGTTGAAAAAGCATTGTCCGCAGCACATCAAACCATACTTCCTAATGATGGCATGCGGGTTACCACAAACCCTGTTGAAAAACAAAATGACATACACAAGTTAAAAACTCCAACCAATAAAGGATAATCATGGAACAATTAAACATGATATGCAAAATAACATAGATATGTAATTTAGCTTATGCATAATTCTCTGGTTATCTGCACTCCAATCCATTTATTTCGTATGCTTCTTAATTTTGTTTTACTACTTCATTTTCTCTTTCATTAGAAAGTTTCAAAATCAAAATTCCTTTCTCAAACCAATTGCCCCCTCAACTATAGAACTCCTAATACGGAATTATAATTCTATGATATTCCAAGAAAAAGCAAAGAGCTGAAATAAAAAACCCCTCTATAGCTTACTTTCAGGTGGCTACAGAAATAACAACCTATTGTTAAAAGTAACAGATGCCAAAATAAGCTAAAACTACTTATTTTAGTAAATAGAAAGCAAAAGAAAATACAAATACCCAACATTGACGTGGTCCAAGAGACTACAGATCCCATGATGCACAACCTGAATAGCTGCATACCAAATTAAAGAAACACATTAACTCACAAACCTTAATAAAAATAATAAAAGCTAATGCATTCTTGCAATTCATTTGTACTCAGATCAATAGAATGCAAATGTAACACAAACTAAAAGGCGTCAACCATGAGTACACTTGTCACAAAAATATTCCAAAAGTTTATGCAATGATGCTGAATCAAAGCTAGGATTTAAGAATCAAATGTAATAAAAATGCAATGTATTCTTACCTACAGAACCGTGCCTAGTTTGAATGGAGCAGAACAAGTAAAAGGTAGTTGATTGATGTTTAGTTATTGGGCTTCAAAGTAAATAGTTTAAATATAATATTATTCAAGTTAACCAATTTAGTATGATTAATCAGAACCAAATAACTTTTCATAAGCATATAATTCATCAAACTTACAATACATCAAATAAGAACTATGTTAGTGATGTTTACACAAAATAAATAAAAAACTGAAACAAATTCCTAGACAATAGAACATACCTAAGATGTTGGTCGAAAATGAGTTCAATTTACCAGATCAAAATTGAGAGCAATAAATGGATGGTCAAACCCTTGCAGTGGACTGTGGCGGCTTAGATAGACTGTTCGAAACAAAAAAAAAATAACCACAAAAATCATGTTAAGATTTCACTTGGATTGCATAAGAAAAATTGGACTACGCGTTTGAATCTCCAAAAATTCGAGAGCGAGCTTGAATGAAGAAAACAAAACCGTAGCTCAACAAATTCCCAAAATAGAAAACATCTAACTTCTTGAATCCTAACCACACACGTCTTTTCCATTAAACAGAACGAAATGCTTGGTTCTAGCTCGACTTGATTAATAAAATAAAATATACTAAATTAACCCAAAAACATCAATCAAGGTGCCCAGAGCTCATTTCACACTCGATTCAACTAAAACTCATTCGCAATCAATCAGAACCAAAATCGAACCAAACCCAATTATTATTCCCGAAGCTTGACGAGGTTCAATAATACTCGATTATTTCATAACCCACAAGGCCACAACATATAATCGATCTAGATGCTAAATTTACCCAAAAACATCGATCCAAATGCTCATACCTCTCAGTTCAGGCTCGACTAACTACAACCCATTCACAATCGATTAAAACCAACAATCAATCTAAACCCAAAAAATATTCCTGAATCTCGATAAGGTTCAGTAATACTCGATTAATTCACAATCCGCAAGTCATAACATAATCTAATTCCATCCAAAATTGAAAAAGAAATCTAAAAAAAAAAACAAGAATTGATAAGCACAAACCTTTCATCGAGAACTCAGACGCTAACCACCACGATCGGATTTCCTTGCTGAACCTTCATAACCAGAGACCATCACCATCAGGTACTTAGTCCTATCCTTCAAAACCTCCACACCCTCCTTTCGGTACTTTTCCTCAGAATTCAAGCGTTGTGCCCCATCTCGTCGGGCTGCCGCAAGAACTCGATTCAGGCGCCATCTCCATTGTTACTCCGGCGGGGAACAACACCGAAACCCAAAATCCCGCTCAATGTCGACTCAATTTCTTCACGAACCGTCAAGGGCTCTGCACGAAGACCGACGACAGTTCTAAATCGAGCCACAATATTGACGTCCACGGAGGGCAGAGGCGCCGGCGGTTGTGCGTGGTGAGAGAAGAGAGGCGCTGCGAGGCTGATGTACAGAGGGCAAAGGTTTAGGGCGTGGCTTAGATGCTACCTTTTCATTTATATTATCATTAAAATACAAATCTTTATTTTAGATAGACATAGAAATATTTATTTTAGATTCTTAAACCTTTTTTTTTTCAGAACAATAGATGTACTATAGATAAGCGCACAAATGTGCGAAAATACAAACTTGGAGGCTAGACCGAGGTCCGCCTAGAATAGCTAGCAAGGCTAGAAAGAAAACGACTCAAACACCAACACAAGAACCAACGACACTGACAAAATAAAACAACTCCAGCGAGGTGATGTGGAACGACCCCAAACGAGGTAATGTGGAACGGCCCCAAACGAGGAAACACCCGTACGCAGACGGGCTCACAGAGGCCAACGGCCTAGACAAAAAACATAATCCTAAACCACACAAGCACAAGCACAAACACAGAAAACAACAAAAATTAAAACCTAATCGATAACACACAAAGCCCTTCCCCGAGATGACCAAACCCATCAGCAGCGGCGAAACAGGACCAATCACCCCATAGCTTGTCCGGAAAGCCGGAACACCACTCCCGCCACTGCCTAAAGCCTAGCAAGGAACGAGTCCAAGCCTCGAAACACTCCAAGGATGAAGGCGACCCATAGCCCGAAGAGGATCAAATAGCCCCCCCATACAGACCCTCTCCCCGAGACCCGACCAAACACCGCTGGACAAGTACCGGCCTGTTGGGCATCCAACTTCACAGGCAAAGCGGACACAGGGCACAAGTCGATCCACCTCAACCCCGGCCGACGCGTCGCAGACGAACCGAGCCACCAGGGTCGCACCCAACCCCAACCACACACACTCACCTCCTTGAAGCAACCCACCATAATCCAGGCGCACAGCGGACGAGCTCCAACCGAGGACCGAGCAGAGATGGAGCCAGCCGACGGCCAGCCAACATAGCTGCTACTCAGAGAACCAGCAGACGGAACCATCACCGGCGAGATGGAGACGGCGAGACTTGCCAACGGATTAGGAGAAGATCCATCAGCGCAGAAGCACTGGCGAGAGAGAAATTGGGGCGGGAGTACGCGGCTACAGATCATCCGCCAGCGAAAAGGCCGGCTAATCGTCGGGGAAGGCGCACGATGGACGCGAATTAACGAGCAGAGGCGAGGGTTTCTGGAGAGAGAAAGGGGATCTTGCGGATGTTCATTATGTTTTGATTGTTAAACCTTCAATTTTAAATATTTTAAAATTTTAAAATAACACTCCATTACCCGTAAAACTCACTCATAAATGTAAATATAATTATTTCTCATTTAATTTATATAATATAAAATCTAATTGAAGATTGAATAATTAATTTAATATTTCTAAATCATAACAAATAAAACCATTATTGAGCTTCAAAATGTGTTTATATTAAGTTAGTATAATGTTTCGTATTATAAAAATTATGATATATTTAGATAAAGCTTTTTACATTTTTGAAAGGTAATTATAATTACATTTTTTAAAGAAAAAAATGGCGTTTACGTAACACTATTTTTGGTAAAAAAAATTTTTTAAAAAAAATAAACAACATTTTTGAATAAGCGTTATAATTCAATAACATTTTTAAATAACGTCACCATGTTTTAAAATATGGCGACTCTTGTTTAATTATGTCACTAAATAAATAGTTACGCTTTTCTTAAGTGTTGCTATATGCATAAAAATGGTGACGCAATTGTACAAGTGTCATAATGTAATTACACTTGGGGTAAATGTTGTCATATTAGTAAAAATTGTGACATTTTCTAAACAGGCGACATTATTTTAATACACTTTTTTAATTGTGTCGCCATATAACTAAACATGACGACACTTTTTTTTATAAAATGTCATAATTTAATTACACTTTTAAATAAATATTTCAATATTGATTAACACGGTGACACTTTTTAAAAAGTGCATGTTTTAAAAAAACGTTGTTAAAATTTTATCTTTGGAATACTTTTTAAAAAGTGTCACAAAAACGCCAATTTTAATTACACTTATTAAAATCGTCACTATATTTATGTTGTTAGAAGATCTTTTTGTTGTAGTGCGAGAAGATTTTCTTGAAGACCAATATTGAGAAATACGAGAAGGATGTTCCTGAACTTTTGGACATTTATCGAGGTAATAAAATCCTGGCGTGCACCTCTTGAATTGATTTCTGGTCGATGAGTTAAGTTAATTAATGATTTTTTTTTTGCCGGCTTAGGAGCATTATTTCCATAATCTTGTCTTTTATGTTACATCCAGAACAGTATTTTGATGAGTTGATTGATGGTTTTCTGTTTGTTGCAATACACACACTAGTATGAGAAGTAAATTGTGTTCTATAGACATATATTCTTTTTCTTCACAATCTTTTGAAGTATTTTATGAGCCCAAGCCTCTTTGGATTTTCTCGGAGCATCTCCAATGCTCAAATGTTGTTGTGGAAATTATATTCCACATTATCACATTTAGCAATATCACAACGTTTCATTACAATTTGATTACAAATAGTGTGATGATATGGACATAATTAATGTCCACAATGTAGAGAAGAATGTAGTTCATCCACATTCTCCTCCACATTCTAGCTAGCCAATGAGGAGGAGAGAGAGAATAATTCTTACCAATTCCAAATAATTTAATTATTTAATTGATTTTCTTATTATACATTATAAAATTATATATTTGGTAAGTAAATAGAATTGTAGTTAGACTACATTGTGCATTGGAGATAATTTTTTAATTTCATAGTTGTAGACTTATCATTTTTCCTACATGGTTCACAATCCATTTAATTCATTGACATTTGTAAAAAAATATTCTACAACAACATTAGAGCATTGAAGATGCTCTCATACCTTTGGCAATCATGCTTAGAATTGGAGCATAGTACAATGTCCTTGTATTCATGCTCACAATCAAGGAAAAAGTTAACCATGTCATGGTCCCCTAAATTTATCAAATGCCATGAGAGAAATTAAGTAAACCGATGTTTGATTTCCACGTAAATATCAACTCGAGTTTGTTATTACTCAAAACCAGTCAATGGAACGATATATAAATTGGTATAATTTCCTAAATGGACGTATTATTTGTCACATACAACTTAGTAATAGTGGCATCTTGTAACATGGATTTTTAATCGACTAAATACTCGAACCACGAAGGAAAGATCGAGCTCTGATAAGTCTAATCTTGTCCATGACATTTTGCACTATCTTTTATGGGAAAATAGTAGTATTGAACGATCAAATTCTCAAGTTTCATCTCTTTGTGTTTATGCATAAGATAACTCTTGAAGTCCTTCAAAGGAGACAATTTTTCGACAATTATCGCCACTTGAAATGCTTCGTTCACTATCAATTTCTCGGCCAAAAAAATCCGTACACAAGGGATTTACCGATAAAAAACTTTTTAATTCTAACGCTTGTCGTTTTGTACTTTGTTAAGAATTCCATAATTCTTTGGATATCCCGCAAGCGGAATATACACATTATAGAGTATGTTGTCAAGTCCGTCAAGTATGAGACTTCTACACAAGAAATCATTATACGTTAAACATCCGACTACATATGCCTTTGTGTAGTGTTGTCTACCATGGGAATGACGAAAGATCTTTCATTGACCTATACAAAACTTCTCAAGTCTAGTGTTTTTGTTTTGTACTCTGTTCCTAAAAAAATACACAATTCTTTGGACGTCTTAACCTGACTTTACACATTATATTGTCATCTAGTCCGTTAAGTATAAGACTCATGCACAAGAAATCATTATACGATATACATCCGACTCCATGCGCCTTCGTTTATTGTTGTTTTCCGTGGGAACAACTGATTGACCTTCCATGAGGAATGAGAAACAAAAATCACATTTTTCTCAACTTTTAAAGTCAAAGCCGTTGAATTTTCAATGTCCCTTGCCGGACAGAGGCGGCTAAGTGAATGAATGATAGTCGTCGGTGTAGCACTCGGCCTAGCAGTTGAACAACTCGTTTGGTTTTCTTCGGTTGCTATATTATGAACTCACCAAATTCCATCACAAGATTGTTATTGGATGGTATGTGAAAATTAAAAAAAAAAAAAAATGACTCAAGGAAGATGACAAAAACATAAGCAAAAATAAAAATTGAAGTATGAGGTATTTACATTTTTATCAAGATAAATAGCTCTTATAAATACTCACGGTTAGTGACAAATGCCTCCAAGATACTTTTAATATATATTATGTACTTAAAACATAAAAGCTTCCACAAATAATACTTATATTTGGAACTCTCAACGAAGTAAATTAAATAACGCGATATGTTATATGAACTTTGAAAATTGTAATGCAGGAGCTCTTTAATTGTAAATTATAGATGCATGATGGTATTTATCAATTTTTTGAAAATTGAACCGGTCATCGAACCAGTGAAGTTACCAGTTTAATAGTTCACTGGTCAGACCAGTGGTCGAACCGGTTGAATTAATATATAATGTTTTATTTATTTTAGATTTGTGTATTTTATCATTAGTTTTATAATGTAAAATGACATTTCTCTATATACAAAATAATTGTATTTATTTTTTATTCATTAGTTTAATATGTAAAATATATAATTGTATATATCTATCATTATCAAATTAAAACGTTGAAGTATTATACATATTATGTAAGGTTTATATTTATTTTGTGAAATTGTAAATCTATAATAATAATAATATAATGTATCTATTTTTTTTTTAAAGTTGGGTTTTAGATTTTAGTTTTGAATTTTAAAAGACTTTGCATTTAAAACTTTGCATACGAACATAAGTAAAAATTAAAAAAAAAAAATGGCCCAAGACTTTGCAATTTGCAATTGCTCGAGTATATACCAAAAAGAAAAAGGCTCGAAGATTTGAAATTTAGTGGGCCTTTTGAATGACCCACGCCACAAAGCAAGCAAAAGGATAAGGAAACTGACAAACAGCTAGTCCCACATCGGTAATCTAATGAAGAAATGAAGAGTTTTTAGTTAAATAGTGAGCTGAACTGTTTGAATTATTAGCCACTGGTTGTGGAACTGACTACAGTTTTTGGTTTGACCAGTTTTTGAACGGCTCAATTGGTTTTTAACTGGTTTTGGTGCCCAGCGGTTTAACTCTTCTGACCGGACCGCTCATGTTCGGCTCTCAGTCGAACCGGCCAGTGCAGTCTGGTTTTCAAAACATTAGTATTTATAGAGGTAGGAAGGAGGTTTAAATTTTAAAAAATAACTCTTGGAACTTGCCTAGATGAGACAGATGCACTCGGAAGTCGAAGGACATCTTATGGATATTAGGGTACACCACCCATCGTGGGCCACCACCCATCCCGGCGCCACGACAAGTGTCGAACCCGATAGTTTAAAATTGGTTGTGTCCAACAGTCGTCGCAGGCCACGAGCGTCAGTTGCGCGTTCGCTTGTCGCGAGCTTGTACGCACACATCCATATTTCAAACTTTTGCTCAATTTTTTTCTACTCATCCCCAACGAACTCTATTAGTATTCTAGCATGCTCAATGCATGATTATAACTCGTTTGGTTTGCCCGGTTATTCATCAAAAACCAAATGATTGTGAATTTAACAAATACTGAGTTACTTAACCTCAATTTTTAGTTTCAAACTTATAATTTTCTACATAAACTACACTAGTTTCTCATACACCTTATACTGGTTTTGACAAATTTCTAGTTCATTTATAGGTGCAAACCAATTTTTCTTACACATACAACATTCATTACATATTTCCAACAAATGATCACAATAAGACAAAATATATGGAAAAAAAAAAAATCAATTCATTCAATAAATAAAACGAATGATAACTGTAGAAAGTTGATTTAATAATAGAATAATGACAACACAAATATTGAACTAAAATCCGTAAAGTTCAACTACGTAGTTATGAAATTGAGAAATATTTAAGTGTTAGCCCCCGAACGAGGCACTCTGGTCACCTGTAGTGTACGTGTGATAGTTATGAAATTTTTATTTATTTATTTTTAAGAGATATAGATAAATTTATTTAACTGATAAATAATTTTATTAATTTTTATTTTATATTAATAGGTAATTTATTTTTTATGATTATATATGAAAAAGTGATAATAAATACTAAATATAATAACTTTTAGAATTTATTTATAACCTGAGTTAATCACGTGCTTTATAACTTTGATCTAGTAACATACATAATGGAATCTAATGCACCAGATCAAATAACATACATAATGGAATAGGCTAATCTAATTAACCACAAATTGACATATAGAATTAGAGCATAAGATTCAATGCATAGTGATATGTAGGGGTGAATCCGTACCAAAATTCAGAGATCACAAAATTCGATCTCTGGAACCGTACCAAAAAATGGGGACGGTTCGGTTCAGAGATTTTTTTCAATTCGATTCGGTTCGGTATTCGGGACTATCGGAACAATTCGGTTTGGTATGGTTCGGTTCATAACTTCGGAGATTTCTTATATTTTTAAAAGTTTTCTGAACGACTATCTAGTTATATTTTAATTTTTGTATGCTTTAAAAAAACAATATTCATCAATAATTCATCATATTGAGATTTTACTTTAAAAATAACTCTATATTTAGTTATTTAATTTCTATATGCTTAAAAAAAAAAAACAACATCCATTTATAGTTCTTCATATTAAAAATTTTATTTTGAAATCAACTTTAAAAGTAACTCTAAATTTTAGTTATTTAATTTTTATATGCTTTAAAAAAAAAACAACATTCATCAATATTTCCTCATATTAAAAATTTTATTTTGAAATCAAGTAACTCTAAGTTTTAGTGAAGCTTTCATACAATTTTAAATAATATTTATATTAAAGAAAAAATCCAATTATAGATCAAGTATTTACTATTATAAAATAGAGTTAAGAAAAAATATTTTTTTGGTAAGTAAATTTCCCTCCAAAACATTTGGAAATTCTATGTGATTAGTTCAATTTTTTTGGTTTTTCCCGCCTACATGAAATTTTCGATTTTGCAATTGATTTATAGAAATTTGATTTGACTTAGATTACAATTCCTTTTTTTCTGCCTATTTTTACTCCTTTTGTATAGGCTTTTATTTGTTACCTTTTGTTTACATCCGATTTTTTATTTTGACGCACGTTTTATTTGTCAAGATTTTCGTTTTTTTTTTTATGTGATGTGATGAAGTCGATACGCTCTATTCGGTCGTAGAACTTAAACATATATCTTATTCAAATCCGAATTGGATTTGGTACAAAAAAAATCTCACAAAATCCGGAGAAAAAAAAAGGATTACAAATACATTTTAAAAATCTATTAGTATAAAATATGGCTAAGAAAAAATGTTTGAAAAACTCGAAAATAATTGTTTCATTTTCCCGCTTCAAATTCCCCCTTTTTTTTTCGTTTTCATAATCCGATATTTTGAATCATTTTTATAATAGTAGAGTAGATGAATCCATTTTATTGGAACCGATTTTGTAGGAATAGAATATTTCCTTTTTTTTGGAAGGATTTGGTAAAATCGGATATTGTTTGTTAATAAGGCAAATAATAGTGCATCATATTTAGTGAAATCGGATATTAATTGGTAAATCCTAATATTTGAGGAAAAGATTTTTTATTTTTTTTTTTGATATATCTTGATTTTATACTAATCAAATCACTCCAAAATTATCGGTTCAAACAAATCAATTTCCAAACCAATTCTCTCGATTTATTAGGGCACCACACATCAAAGAGATGGGCATGCATGAGTTCCACCGAATCTTTTCCATTCTCGATGAACGGCAACGGCAATATCAGTCGAAAGGAGCTCGACGAGTCGCTGAAGTATTCGGGATTCGTGTGCTAGAGGAGGAGCTGCGGGTGATTATCGGGAAGATAGCCAGATTTGTGAAAGGTTTTTTGATGGTTCGCTCCATATTTTCCTATTGCCGTTTCAATTTTATTATTTTCGAAATTGAATTGGAACTATGGCCGGATTGCTTTTCCGCATGCTTCAATATTGTATCTTTTTATCTAATTTTTATAGTTATTTGATGATATTGTATCTTTTTGTAATTTTTATAGTTATTTGATGAGTTAGTAATTTTAATTGTGCACATAGAGTTTTCATTTGATCAGTGTATCTGCTTGCAAAATTCCTATAATTGATGGGTAAATATGGTCAATGATATCATAAATTATTTTTTCTATTCGAATAGTTCAACTTAATTGATGTTTTTTTTTTGTCAATATTTACTTAAGTACAAGATATTTTAAAATTTAGAAAAAATCTCATTTTATGTGGGTTCTTGGTACATATTCTTTTTCATCTCATATCCAAATAAAAATTTAAATGCGGATCTTAAATGTATCATGTTTATTAAAAATATGTATATATATTTTTAAAAAGTATGAAGATCATATAATTAATTTTATCATATATCATATGTTGGATGTTATTAGTTTGATTAGGGACACTAATTATATCCAAATAAATAATATATAATTTTTTATATTTGATATTTCCTTTTTTTACAATAATGAGATGTTAAATATAAATACTATGTTTAATATAAAGTCTTAGAAAAAGTTTTAAGTAAAAAGCCCGTCCGTGCATCGCACGGGATACACACTAGTTACTAAGCAAGAAATTTAAGTGAAGCTTAATTGTTATTACTATATTTCATTTGCATTTTAAAAATTTACAAATTATATAGGATCAAAATTGACATAAAATACATTAATGTTATAGTTCGGCACTTTTGGTTCTTCAGTTTGGTACGGTATCGAACGATTTGGTTCGATTATCGGTATAGATATTTGTGAAATCTCCAGAACTAACAATTACTTTTCAGTTCGGTTTGCTTCAGTTCGGAGAAAGTCACATGGTCAACGGTTATTTTTCGGCTCGGAGTGATTTTGGTTCGGTTTTTTAGACGGTTCGGAGTTTTCCTAGTCCCATGCTCAGCCTAGTGATATGACATATAGAGTAGCTCGAACGAACCGGTCTCAGTTAGCTCAGGTGAATGGACTCTTCATATAGCTTTGCGATATAAACAGCTCGAGTGGACCGGTCGTTTATACAGGTCGGATATATGGTCGTTAACGATAGCAGTTCAGATATGAGCGGTGACCTCTCGGTTTTGAAAGGTAAAATAAATTTCAAAATTCTAGTCTCAATAGTTATGCATTTAAAAAAAATATAATGATATATATTATTTGTTAATAGTACACAATTCAAAAAATTGTGTACTATAAATTGTATGTTGATATCCAAATCATTTTATAACTGCAACCGACTTTGTTAAATCTCCACGACAATATGGTAAAACAAAATGAGACGATCAACTGTATGGAAATAAAATAAAATCAATAAATCATTATGAAATTCACAAAAAATGAACATAATTAATAATTTAAATAATACACGGATCTCAAAATTAATACTCTCTTGGATTTTAATATTCAAACTTATACTTATCATCATCTTTTGGAAATTGAATAATATATTGTACGAAAGTTTTTTAAAAAAACGCGATGCACCTTTCCCTAAAAACCGAAAAAGAGGCATATATTGAGGCACATCTTCAAACCCTAGTCTGCTCTCGTCAGCTCACCAGGTCCGTTGAACTCAAATTCGAATTCCGAATTATGTTCGCGATTCTCCGAGGCAGACGACTCAGGCTCCCACCGGAGCTCTCTATTTTAGCCGACCGTCAATCTTGGGCTTCTGAAAATGCGGTCTTCTCCAGGCCGTTCACTACCGGGAAACCACCGCAAGGTGTTCGCGAAAATGACACTGAGAAATCCCTTACCTCTCCTACCTCATCAGCTCATGCGGGTTGGCTCCAGAAGTCGCCGTCCGTGCCTCCAGTAAACTCCAGCTGAAATCGCCTGAAAGAACAGACGCGGTGTTGAATCTCCTCAGAGAGTACGGATTCACGGCTGCCGACATCTCTGTACTGGTCACCCGGTGGCCGAATGTTCTCTCTGCCCGCCCAGAAAAAACCCTTTTGCCCAAGCTCCAATTTTTCTCCTCATTTGGCATCCCCCTCCCCATCCTTGCCAGCAGGCTGTCCCGTAACCCTACCATCTTAAGGTGCAGCCTGAAGAACTCAATCATCCCCTTATTCGATTTCCTGAAAAACCTGCTCGGGTCGGATAAGGTGGCCGTTCAAGTCTTTATACATGCTCCCCAGTTCTTCAGCTGGAGCCGGGCTGATGACATCTCATCCAACCTCTCGTTTCTAGCAGCCCGCGGGGTCCCTCGGCCATCTCTCGTGTCACTGGTCACGTACGAGCCAAGAATGCTCATGGTTCCTCAGGAGAAGTTATCCTTGTGTGTGGATCGAGCAATAGAAATGGGGTTTGACGTGTCCAATTATGCATTTGGGAAGGTCATTCGGGTTTTTGTGCGTTATGACGAGTCGGCAATTAAGCGCAAGATGGAGGTTTATAGAAAGTGCGGCATGTCTGAATCCGACATCAGGACCGCCTTTCTGATTCAGCCGCTCTGTGTGGCCTTGTCCGAGAAGAAGATTTTGGTGGGTATGGGTTTTCTGGTTGATAAATTAGGGTGGGCACCAGGTGACGTGGCCCGTTGCTCTTGGATTCTTGGGTACAGCCTCGAAAAGAGAATGAAGCCGAGGTGGGCGGTTGCTGAGGTTTTGAATGAGAAGGGGCTGAAGAATGTGGCTATCACATCCTTGCTACCTTTATCTGAGAAGGTTTTCTTGAAGACATATATCGAGAAGTACAAGAAGGATGTTCCTGAACTTCTGGACATTTATCGAGGTAATCAGATCCTGGCCCACACCTCTTGAATTGGTTTGAAATTTGTTGAAGATATTGTTTTTTGTTTATTTAGGAGAATTATTTCCAGAATCTTGTTCTTTATGTTACATCCGTAATCCTCTTCGGTTGAAGTGGAGTTGCAGAACAGTATTTTTATGTGTTGACGGATGGTTTTCTGTTTGTAGCAATCTACACACTAGTATGAGAAGTAAATTGTGTTTCATGGCCAGTTGTTCTTTTTCTTCATATCTATCGAAGTATTTTCTGAATCCCAAACCTATTTGGATTTTCTCATACCATTGACAATCATGCTTAAAGTTGGAGCATAGTACAATGTCCTTGTATCCATG